CCCCCCCAAGTACATTCCAGACTAGTTGGCCAGGGCAGTTTCACATATCCTGTCCCTTTCTACCCACTACCCCTCTAAGAAACCTTTCCCGTCTCTACAAGCCAACCACTTACCTCTTCTAACAATAGATTTTTTATATCACTTCTCACTTTTCAGCCTAGTGTTAGATCAGGGCCTCCCAGTCTTGGCACTATTGTCATTTGAGGCTAGATAATTCTCTGCTGTAGAGGGCTGTCCTGTGCACTGTAGTATATTTAGCAGCATCCCTAGCCTCTACCCATTAGATACCAGTAGCACTACCACCACCACCCTTAGCTGTAACCATCTAAAATGTCCCCAGATATGGTCAGATGTCCCCTAGAGGGCAAAATCACCACCACTTGAGAGCCATTGTTTTACAGCAACTGGTGTACATAACTTATCACAATCACCTTTGAATATGTGCCTCATTGTCTCGAACTTAGTCCAGAGCGGATGCTCGAGAAATACTTGTTAAATGAGTGCGGAGTCAGATGGTGTTACATTATTGCAGTATACTGCTAGAATAATAAGCATATTATCCTTATAAACTGAACCCAGTTTTACTTAAGAAGTTAAGAATATTTCTATATCCATTTTGGATTTTTTTTTATTTTATACTTTTTGCAATACAGACAGAGGAGAGAGACAGTATTTTTACAAGTTTATAGATCTCATTGAACTCTATGGTTCATAAACTTCTAATGGGACTCAATTCTTAGTAGCTTTTTTTTCCCACTACTAGAGGAAGATGACATCTAAATCTATTCCAAAAAAGAGAACAAAGGAGGAGAAAAGGAGGGTGAAAATAGAAAGAAAAAAAGAAGAAAGAGTAAGTAAGCAAGATATAATAGGCTCTTCTCTATTTATAAACCCACTTATTAAAAAAGCCTGAATTCTGATAGAATATTTTAAAGGAAAATGTTTCAATTTAAACATAGTGAACTATAATTCAATGAAAACTTAGTTTTTTATTTAATATTTAGTAGTTAATTTTCTAGCATAGACAAACAAGATTAAAAACAAAAGAGAGAAAGATAAAGAAATTTTTTTTTTTGGAAAAGAATAAAATGAAGTAAAGGACGATTCTATGAGAATAAGGGCAACAACATATGAATGTTTTAAAAGTACACTTAGAGAAAATCTAAAGGATTCCAAGACCTTTTGTACCACACGTAGATTGACGTAATAACACTTAAACAATGTTTCAATGCAGTTTTAAACATCTGTAGAGTATGAATTAGAAATTAAGGGAACAAAAAATAATTTTATATATTATTGATTATAAAGTAAATGAAAACACGTCAGTTTTTTTCCAAATGGTATTTACTTATCTATAAATTGAATTTCGTTAATTAGTTCTCTATTCATAATTTAAGAAACTATGAGGGAAAAAGTCCAAGTAATAGGGAAATATTCTTTCAGGGTCATTGGCTATTATACTTATCATCAAGAATCTGTGTACACAGTGGTTAAGAGCATAAAGTCCAGATGGAGACTATCTAAATTAGAATCTGGCTCCTCACTTTCTAGCTGTGTGACCCTGGGTTTGGTTTCTCCCAAAAGCAGAACCGGAGATAAGCAAGCATTCAGAGGCAGGTGGTTTTCCTGGGAAGGGATCCCAGCAAACACTGGTTAGAAAGTGGTGCGGTGAGAAAAGAAACCAAAACGCACTACGTTATCAAACCAGTTCCCTGCGCCGTGTGGAACACAAGTCAGAGTTGTCCCAGCTAAGGATTGAGGTTTCTTTTATCTGCCAACTTCCTGTGTTTTACCAGTAGATGGCTGCTCCCTGGGGTATTACCTCTGGGCACCTCAGCTCACCCTGCCTGGCGCTGAGCATGCACCCATGACTCCTCAGGCAGAGAGTGCAGGTGTGTGTAGTAAGCAGAGTTAGCTATTACTGTTTCTTTCTTTTTACTATTTTATATTTGAAAAATACCATAATAACGGTATAATCGTTCTAAATTGGATTAATAAAATCCAAGTTAGATTAACAACAATTAAATACAATAAGTTCTTTGACTATTTGTACCATGCTAAGTCCTAAAAAATTATTTGGATAATTGCAACAAATATTTACTCTAGAAACTAAGACTTCGTTTGTCGTTTCGGGCTCCTCAGCCACCAGGTACAAAAAGGGGGTAAACTGATCCTAAGTCTCAGTTGGAAGTAGTAACCTGCAGGGAGGCGTGTAAATGGAATCCAAGGGGTGGCCCCTCACTGCCTCCGCTTCAGCACATCCAGTGGCAAATATTCACTGAATAGCGTCAGCGAGACCCTCAAGAGGCCAGCTTTGCTGTTGTGTTTCTCTGTCAGGGAAACCTCACAGCTGGTGTTCCTTTGAAGCCCATGGAACGCAGCCAGGACAGGAGCATTAAGAAGTCATAAATAAAACCATGGCTTTAGGGTCCGTTACAGAAACGAACATTGCTCTCTCTACCGTGTTTTCTTTCTTGTCTGATAAATAATTCTACGATTCAGGTAGTTTGTATCGTATCTCCCCGTTTACCTCACTACCTTATATAGGTTATGGTGTTGGTGGCTAACTTCATTATTTGGTCTGTGGGTACTGAATACTGAGATAGGAGTGAGAGAATTAGAAGAAGCAAGGGAATGAATATTACTCAGAAATCCTGGATCCATTAAATATTAAATGATGAGACTTTGGCTTGTCTTCACTTAGCAATATGCGTGAGCACTTTTTTTTTTTAATTAAATAATGGTTATGTTATATTAAGCGGTACTATTCCACCTTCCAGCCTTCCTGCCCCCACCCCAATTTGGAAGTATACACAGCCATTTGCGCAGGTAAAAAAGAGAATTGTGGAGAAAAGTGGGTGACACACTAAATACGTGAAGAGAATGTGTGAGTTTTCTGTGGCTCAAGCTGACCTGACAGGAGAAAGCTGGGCTTCAACCATCCTGCTGGGGCCCCATTCCAGAGAGCTGACCACCAGAGGCTATGGAATATGCCGCAGAAGGCAGTCACTGAGGGGATCGTGAAAGGACTATAGCTGGACCAGATTCAACTAATCAGGGAGCTGTGAAGACAGGAAGGTTCTCAACACCGAGTCCCTCCGAAAACGCACATGTGAAGAATCTGGGATTTGGATGCAACCATACAGGGAGCATCAAAGACGTCTCCCTCTTCCCCTCCAGTCTCCACCCCCAAAACCCTGAAGCAGAGAAGGACCTAGAAGAGAGTGGGAAGGAGCAGCAAAGGGCACGTCAAGCTCCTTTCTCTCTCCAAGTCCTTTGGGCCTGAGTGTGCCTGGCTGGGAACAGTTGGGGATGATGAAGAGGGTAGAGAGGAGTTGGAAATAAGCTTCCGTAGAGCACGATTGAAAGCCGTTATTAGAGAAAATGCAGAGCCATTTCATAACAGTATCTTATCAATTTTAGTTATGTAAAAAAAAATCTGCACACTTGGAAATAGCTAGCAAAGGGGGGAAAGAATAACAGAGACTAAAATCAGTTATTTTAAGTTAGTGGGTTATTGGAATTATGGATCCTTTTCCCCCATATGTTTTCAATGTTGCCATGCAATACATGCAATTAAAAAGAAGTGTGGCAAATTGCGTATACCAAAGTTGATACATGTAGTTTTCTCATGTATTTATATACTAAAACATTGGTTATGTGTGTATGAGTATGTATGTATGCTCATGCATGTGTGTGTGTGCACACATACATACAAATGCATACCTATGAAAGCTAAGTGAACGTTTTATACACTCACATTCTCTGGGAATAAAGCTACAATACTGTTTATTTGATGTACTGGAATTGCATTCATATTTATAAAGCTCAGAAAACCTTGAGGAAGCATGAATTCAAGGAGTGCTGTTTTGCATATTTCTGTATCTCCTGACAACCTCACCCAAGCTCAACTCTTTCCCCCTTAGCCATCCTAAAATGTAATCTAGGAATGCACACCATACTAAAAGGGATATTTTTGGCATTTTATGGGATACTGTCAGAATGCACCAAGTATTAAAGACAGGCTAGCACCTACATAGCACCTACCTTGACATTATCTTTGATGTAATTAAAAAAATTAAAGCACTGAGGAAGAAACAGACAAATCTGGAACATTTTCATCACAGGAAAAGAAAAAACCTGTATGTTCCCTTTCTTGAGGCTCTCTCATGAATGAAGAGATGTCCTCTAATTTATTTTTATTATTTCTGTCTTGAAATTTAGTATGCTCTGGAGCTTGAGCCTGCGTTTGGCTCTTTGTGACTCATACTGACATTTTCGATAATCTATCAGAAATGTCAGATCTTAAATACATATAATTACCAAAATATCCTAAATCACAAAGCAATTTGAAAGAAAGGTTGTTGAACAGTAATATCCTAGAAGCTTATGAAGTGGGAACTCTGCTGCATAAAACAGACACAAGTTTCAAATAAAATACCAAGCCTGCCTCTTGGCCCATTTCAAAGTAAAAGTTGGAATTTTTCTTATATGAAATTAAGATAAAATGAGATCTTCTTTCCAGAAACTCCAGAACATGAAATTTTACATTTGAAGCAGGATTTGGGGAATTATTATCATTTTTTAAGAAGTTACCACACCCAGCAAACATTGGATCTTATGTCCTGAACTGAAGACAATATCATAGTCATGGATATTCAAAGCTAGTTGCTACTTAAAGTAACTTTATGAAAGTTAGAAAAACCAAGAGTCAATCATTCTATAGTTTTAGAATTAACAATATCTTAATGTTATTGAAACTATTTATAAAATTGTAATTCATGAATTGTAAAAAAAAATTAGTAATTCTCTACCATAATCCTCCTTTTTAACCATGCTTTAATTTGCTACAGTAAAAAATTAAAATATTTAAAGGTATTTAATATTAAAAATTTAAAAATAGTTTTAAAGTATTAAAATATTAATTCTATTTATAATAATGATTACCTTGAATTTTAGCTATCAATTTACCTTAGCCTCAGGTTCAGTGTATTACTTACTCTGTGAAGTTTGAGTGTCTATGAATTTCTTTATCAAGGCATCAGTACTTTGGGTATAAAGACTGAGAGCATATCTCAGAGACTGAAGATCTGGGCTTTTCTCCAAGAAATTCTTTTTCAGGCCACTTCCTCCTGCATGAAAGTATTGCTAAAAAGAAAAAAAAAAAATATATACATATATATAAGCAGAGACATTCAGAAAGAAATTATTGGAGTAGAGGTTTTATTGCTCCTATGGTGAAGCCCAACTTAGAATAATAAAACATGATCTATATAGGTAAGGTAGGTTCAAACAAATAGTGTCCCCATGCACCCATTGCAAATTCATCATCTAACTCAGGTTTCATAGACATTTCTTAAGTGATGCTGTACATCACAGACCCCAGAGCCCTGAAGGCTTAAGCCTTTACCTCTCGTTCATAACTTTGGTGAAGCAAATGGGATCATGAAGCTACAGTGGCCAGAATCCTTACAGGATGACAAGTTTAGGTAACAATCATTAGCTTCGTTATTGACTTCTGTTTCCAGAGGATGAGAGAGCCTATCTATTCCCAAGACTGTCAAAATTTCCTGGACACATATTTTCCAAACATAGTTTGAGAGTCTAGGCAAGGTGCCGGCTGCTCCATCTTCCCCATCCTCTAATTATACACCATGTTGGTGTTGCTAGGTGCCGTTGAATCAGTTCTGACTCCTACTGACTCCGTGCACTACAGAACGAAACACTGCCTGGTCCTGTGCCATCCCCACAATCACTGTTATGCCTAAGCCCATTGTTGCAGCCCCTGTGTCAATCTATCTCGTTGAAGGTCTTCCTCTTTTTCACTGACCCTATACTTTACCAAGCTTGATGTCCTTCTCCAGGGACTGATTCCTCCTGCTAACATGTCCAAAGTATATAAGACATAGTCTCGCCATCCTTTCTTCCAAGGAGCATTCTGGCTGTACGGACTTGTTCGTTCCTTTGGCAGTCCGTGGTATATTCAACATTCTTTGCCAATGCCACAATTCAAGGCATCAGTTCCTCTTTGGTCTTTCTTATTCACGGTCCAGTTTTTGAATGCATAGGAGACGACTGAAAATACCATGGCTTGGGTCATGCGCACCTTAGTCTTCAAGGTGACATGTTTGCTTTTCAAGACTCTAAAGAGGTCTTTTGCAGCAGATTTGCCCAATGCAATGAATCTTTTGATTTCTTGACTGCTGCTTCCATGGGTGTTGACTGTGGATCCAAGTAAAATGAGATCTTTGACAACTTCCATTTTTTGTCTGTTTATCATGATGTTGCTTCTTGGTCCAGTTGTAAGGATTTTTGTTTTCTTTATGTTGAGGTGTAATCCATACTGAAGTCTGTGGTCTTTGAGCTTCTTCAGTAAGTGGTTCAAGTCCTCTTCACTTTCAACAAGCAAGGTGGTGTCATCTGCATAATGCAGATTGTTAATGAGTCTTCCTCCAATCCTGATGCCCTGTTCTTCTTCCTATAGTTCAGCTTCTCGGATTATTTCCTCAACCTACAGATTGAATACGTATGGTGAAAGGATACAACGCAGATGCACACCTTTCCTAACTTTAAACCACACAGTACCCCTTGTTCTGTTCAAACGACTGCCTTTTGATCTGTGTACAGCTTCTTCATGAGCACAATTAAGTGTTCTGGAATTCCCATTCTTTGCAGTGTTAACCATAATTTGTTATGATCCACACCGTCAAATGCCTTTGCATAGTCAATAAAACACAGGTAAACATCTTTCTGGTATTCTCTGCTTTCAGCCAGGATCCATCTGACATCAGCAATGATATTCCTTGTTCCTGTCCTCTCCTGAATCCAGCTTGAATTTCTAGCAGTTCCCTGTCGATATACTGCAGCCACTTTTGAATGATCTTCAGCAAAATTTTACTTGCATGTTGTTTGATAATTTCCACATTCAGTTGGATCACCTTTCTTTGGAATAGGCATAAATATGGATCTCTTCCAGTCAGTTGCCCAGGTACTGTCTTCCAAATTTCTTGGCATAGATGAGTGAGCAGTTCCAGGGCTGCATCTGTTTTCTGAAACATCTCAATTGATATTCTGTCAATTCCTGGAACCTTGTTTTCCACAAATGCCTTCAGTGCAGCTTGGACTTCTTCCTTCAGTACCATCGGTTCCTGATCATATGCTACCTCTTGAAATGGCTGAATGTCGACCAATTCTTTTTGGTTTAGTGACTCTGTATATACCTTTTATCTTCTTTTGATGCTTCCTGCGTCATTTAATATTTTCCCCATAGAATCCTTCACTACTGCAACTCAAGGCTTGAATTTTTTCTTCATTTCTTTCAGCTTGAGAAATGCCGAGCATGTTCTTCCCTTTTAGTTTTCTATCTCCAGCTCTTTGCACATGTCATTATAATACTTTACTTTGTCTTCTCGAGCTGCCCTTTGAAATCTTCTGTTCACCTCTTTTACTTCATCATTTCTTTCTTTTGCTTTAGCTACTCAACATTCAAGGGCAAGTTTCAGAGTCTCTTCTGACATCCATTTTGGTCTTTTCTTTCTTTCCTTTCTTTTTAATGACCTCTTGCTTTCTTCACATATGATGTCCTTGATGTTATTTCACAACTCGTCTGGTCTTGGGTCATTACTGTTCAATGCATCAAATCTGTTCTTGAGATGGTCTCTAAATTCAGGTGGGATAGACTCAAGGTTGTACTTTGGCTCTCTTGGACTTGTTCTAATTTTCTTCCGGTTTAAATTGTAACCTGCATATGAGCAATTGATGGTCTGTTCCGCAGTTGGCCCCTGACCTTGCTCTGACTGATGATATTGAGCTTCTCTATTGTCTCTTTCCAGAGATGTAATCGATTTGATTCCTGTGTATTCCATCTGGCGAGGTCCATGTGTTGCTGTTTATGTTGGTGAAAAAAGTATTTGCGATGAAGAAGTCGTTGGTCTTGCAAAGTTCTATCATGCGATCTCAAGCATCATTTCTGTCACCAAGGCCATATTTTCCAACTACCGATCCTCCTTCTTTGTTTCCAACTTTTGCATTCCAATTACCAGCAATTATCAATGCATCCTGATTGCATGTTCAATCAATTTCAGACTGCAGAAGCTGGTAAAAATCTTCAATTTCTTCATCTTTGGCCTTAGTGGTTGGTGCGTAAATTTGAGTAATAGTTGTATTAACTGGTCTTCCTTGTAGGTGTATGAATATTATCCTATCACTGACAGTGCTGTACTTCAGGATAGATCTTGGAAATGTTCTTTTTGACAATGAATTCAATGCCATTCCTCTTTGTCATTCCCAGCATAGTAGATCACATGATTATCCGATTCAAAATGGCCAATACCAGTCCATTTCAGCTCACTAATGCCCAGGATATCGATGTTTATGCATTCCATTTCGTTTTTGACGATTTTCAATTTTCCTAGATTCATACTTTGTACATTCCATGTTATGATTATTAACGGATGTTTGCAGCTGTTTCTTCTCATTTTGAGTTGTGCCACATCAGCAATGAAGGTCCTGAAGGCTTGACTCAATCCACGTCATTAAGGTCAACTCTATTTTGAGGAGGCAGCTCTTCCCCAGCCATCTTTTGAGTGCCTTCCAACCTGGGGGGCTCATCTTCTGGCACTATATCAGACAATGTTCCACACAGTATGACAAACTGACAGACACGTGGGGGTATTATACACCATGGTGCAGCTATAATGCAGATATAGAGGATGCACAGTGGTCCCTGGAAATCTAACACCCCTGACCCTTGTGTATGATTAATGTAATACAACATTGTGATTTTTTTTTTGTTATTGTTATCCAAAAAACTCAAAACATTCCTGTATTCATAGGTAAGATAATAGAGAAGATAAATGCTTTTGGACAATAAACATGGTTATTGAAAGATGTTAGAGAGGCAGAATTTCTAGAGATAATGTGCTTGAATTAAGGACATTTTTCCCAATTATTTATAGATGATAATATATTTAGACTGTACCGTTAAGGCTAGATTAACAGTTCTCTGTTTCTCTTCCTGCACCAGCAATGACAGAGGAAATTACAACTCATTGGTGTCTGTGGCTTGCTATGATCTGTGATTCTCACAGAATGGAATATTTTGAAGAAGCTCAGCAAATAATTCTGAGAAACTCTCCTAAATGGATATTATCATGCATCTATCCCACGTTTTAAGAATTTCTGAGGTAGAACAATTCAATAAACTAAAAAATCACAATACTCTCAGTTTCCTCCCCTATTCAGATGCCGAAAAATGTTCCGGGCATTTGCAGCCATCTGTGAGTCAGAATCGGCTCGATGGCAGCTGGTTTTGTTTTTTGGAGTGCACTTTCGAAGGGTGTAATGTAGAGAAGACTCAGGGCATAGGCCAGAGAAGTTAGGCAATGGGGAATAACTTGAAGAAAGATTGTTACAGTTGCAGGCACCCTCCCAAAGGAGATAAACCTACGGCCACTTAAAATTCCATGCATTGATTCTAGCTGAGTACTCTGTGAAAAGACAAGTTTTCGCAAAAGTGAAGTAGGTGTGGGTATGAAGAAGAGGAACAGAAAAATAGGAAAAGCCTTTTTTTTTTTGATTTTACAATTTAAGACAGAGATAATATGTAAAATTGTTCTACACCTGGATTTTCTTGTTAAAATATTACTGCATGCAAAAATATTTATTGAGGACTATTCATACAGAAAGGAACCCTGGTGGCACAGTGGTAAAAGCACTCAGCTGCTAACTGAAAGGTCTGCAGTGCTAACCCCCCAGGCGCTCTGCTGGAGGAAGACGTGGCAGTCTGCTTCTGTAAAGGTTTACAGCCTTGGAAACCTTATGGGACAGTTCTACTCTGTCCTGTAGGGTTGCTGTTATGGAATGAATTGTGTCCCCCCAAAATGTGCATCAACTTGGCTAGGCCATGATTCCCAGTATTGTGTGGTTGTCCACCATTTTGTGACCTGATGTAATTTTCCTATGTGCTGTAAATCCTAACCTCTATGATGTTAATGAGGCAGGACTCAATCTACAGGATTAGGCTGTATCTTCAGTCAATCTCTTTTGAGATATAAAAGAAAGAAGTGAGCAGAGAGGAGAAGGACCTCAGTACCACCAAGCAAGAGGAGCCAGGAGCAGAGTGCATCCTTTGGACCCACAGTCCCTGT